CAGCTCGCCCTCCTCCACGCAGCACGTCAGGAACTTGTTGGAGGAAATGTCCAGCTGGGGAAGGCGCTCCCGGCAGAAGAGATCCCCCGAGGAGCCCTTGGGCGCCAGGACCAGCACGACGTAGTGGTAGGCGGTGTACATGCAGTAGAAGTCCGCGAAGTAGAGGTTGGTGTTGGGGTTGAAGAGGCGCTGCGCCGGGATTTGGAAGCGGTACCGGCCGTAGGGCGAGTCCTGCGGGGGCTGCCCGGTGTTGAACTCGGTGTTGCAGCTGAAGAAGATGCCGTGCAGCATCCCGCTGGTGGGCGAGCCGTGGCTCCCGCTGTTGTCCTTCAGCGACGGCTTCATCACGTTCCCGCAGTGCATCCTGCCACGAGGACGAGGAGGAGGAGGAGGAGGAGGAGGGACACACAGACAGGCACAGGCAGGGTCAGGGAATGCGCTCTGCGGGCGGGGAGCGTGGGCAATGGGGCTGGGGGTACCTGACGTGCTGGAAATACTCCTTGTGCTGGTTGCGGTAGAAGACGGAGAAGCGCAGCATGCGGCCGGCGATCAGCTCCGCTTTCTCCTGCAGCTGGGCTAGGTGCTCCTTGGCGTAGTCTGGGGACAGGCACGGGGACATCAGGGCGTCTCCATCCCCCTGCAGCAGCCCATCCCTGCCCGCAGCTCCCCGCACCTCCTGCCTCCCACTCATCAGCTGCCGCTCCAACCGGCCCGGCTTGTGCCAGCTCCCGGCATCGCCCCCGTCCTCCTCCGGGCTCCCAGCTCCCAGCGTTTCCCCCATCCTCTCTCCCGGCTCGTGGCTACCGACATTATCCCCAATCTCCCTCTTGGCTCCCAGCACTGACCCCTCTTTGCTCCCAGCTCCTGGGATCGCCCCTGTTCTCCTTCCCAACTCCTGGGATCGCTCCTGTCCTCCCTCCTTGCTCCCAGCACTGACCCCCTTTCCCTCCCAGCTCTTGGGTTCTCTCCTGTTTTCCCTCCCTGCTCCAGGCATCGTCCCCGTCTTCCCTCTCAGCTCCAGGCATTGCCCTCTTTCCCCTTTTCCCTCCCAGTTCCTGGGGTCGCCCCTATTCTCCCTCCCTGCTCCTGGGATCGTTCCCGTTCTCCCTCCCTGCTCCCAGCACTGACCCCTGTTCTCCCTCCCAGCTCCTGGGTCTCCCCTGTTTTCCCTCCCAGCTCCAGGCACCATCTCCATCCTCTCTCTCAGCTCCAGGCATTGCCCTCTTCCCCCTTTCCATCTCCCAGCTCCAGGCATCAACCCCATCCTCCCTCCTGGCTCCCAATCCTGGATTTTGCCCCTTCCTCCTCATCCTCCCGGCTCCCAGCACCGCTTCCATCCTCCTCCCAGCTCCAGGTATCAACCTCATCCTCCTTCCCCAGCGTCCCCATTCCCGGCCCAGCTCCCGATCCCAGGAGCATCAATCCCGTCCTCCCTCCCGGCTCCCAGCATCGCCCCCGTCCTCCCCCCAGCTCC